CTCTAACAGAAATTACATTCAATTCTTGTCTTACAGATGAATATAGTCTTACCAATTTATATGTGTCGTCAAGACAGGTAGATAATTAATACATTATACCACATCATTGTTCTATTATAGGCTTATAACACACTAACATTGTTAAAAATAATAAATTTCGTTAATCTGAAAACAACATTGTATAAAACCTTCTCTGATATAATTATAATGCCTTCAGCCTATAAAGTTCTTTTTATCAACTTTTCCATCATACACACTTTTTAAAAGCGGTAAGAGTTTGTTCGTCATGTAAGTATTTGTTTAAAATGAACTGTACACTGAATGATACGGACTAAGATATAAACCTTAGCCAGCAAGTTACTTGCATAAGCTGAGAGTTGAAGATTTTCATCGCCAGGATTAGTCCGGTAAAAATCCCATTTTATAACCCGCATATTTCCACAATTTCCCCTCCAATAAAAAAAAACAACAACAAAAAAAAACACAAACAAACAAAAAACAACAACAAACAAAACAAAAAACAGACATGCATGGGAAAATAGGCAGTCAGCTTGTCCTTTACTGATAGGAAAAGCTAGTAGGTTTTCGCAAGGGTTAGGAAGACAAAAATAAATGACGAGTGCAGTTTCTATACCTAGAAGTTCTATACCTAGAAATGAATATTGGATTCTTTCTGTAGAAAAGTTAACCATCTATCATACTGAACATAGATCTTTTGTAGTGTCACCTAAAGCCCAAAATGCCAACACAAATAAGCACATAAACATGCATTCATAAATAGAATAAAGTGAGCATGATTTTGTTTTTATATAATTACATATATTTGTTGCCATTTCACTAGAAGAGTATGCAATATAGAATATGCAATTAACATGCCATAAATCCATTATTAAATCATTTTTAAAAACATGTTTGCCCAGTCAAAAATACTTTAAAAAAACATTTCTTAGGCTCAATGTACCTTTAAATGACAGATGGGATGAAATATTACATAGATTGACGTGATAAGAATACATCTATTATACACTTTCAATGTTGATTGTAACATTTTACTTGTGTGCATGAGATATAGAATTTATGGTTCATCTAAATGATTCATCTCAATACTGCAACCCGTTTTTGCACATACACAAATGGCTTTAGATGGTTTAATTTAAGAGTGCAACCAGTTATTGCAGGCATCTACATATCCTAAAAAAGATACTTTTTAAGAATGCAACTCGTGTACCTGTGCACGTGCACATGGTTATGTTGTGGTGGATTTCGCAAAAAGGGTAACGATATGGATATGCACCGTGATATTTATGTTTAGTAATGTCGACATGTGCACGGTTATTTGTCTTGTTTTATCCTATTATAATGTCATCATGGGTATATAAGCCCTACATGATTGAAATAAAACTAAAATCTATGTCTTAATAGATACTCCTATATACCCTAGAAAGATTAAGAGTGCAAGCCGTTTTTGTAAAAATCTGTATACACTTAACAGATACATTATCAAAGTGCAAACCGTTTTGCACACACATCAATACGTTATATAGATTCATTTTACGGATTCAATCAGTTTTTGTACACAATAAGTAACTTGTTTAACGTAGAAAAATATAGATACAATTTCTTTCTAAAGAAATTATCTAAATTTCGTATGACTGTTAATTTTACATAGCTTTTGTACTTTCATTTATGTTTTAAAGGCGACAATTACGTAGTGACAATAGATGCTTCTCAGCAACAAATTTACCGGATTCAAATTGACAGCGGTGAATACAGCAGAATACCATTGACTTATGACTTTAAGGGTAAAGCCATAGATATGAATCCATTAACAAAAACACTATATTGGAGCGACAATACTGCAAAAGTTATCATGAAAGCGCAAGTGGATGGTTCCCAAGAGGAAGTTTTCATAACTTTGCCAAACAGTACAGTTTACATTTTATCTTTGCTATTATGTCAATATCTAAAAACAGATTAAATATCTAAAAAAGATAAAATAACTATCTTAATACTCATATTCATTTTAAAACATATAATGTAATGAAAGTGTGTAAAAAGTAAAATATCAATTTTTTTCGTGATATATTTTGACCTCTATTGCCCAACAACTTAAGGTGCATGCCTCCACTACCGCCTTTGTTATTCCATTGGCTATTGTATTTCCTGTGGGAATTTCTATAATTCTTTTTAAAGCAGCACGCCTCCAGATTCATGTTAATTTTCATGAAAATGTTGAAAATGTATTTAAATGTGTAATATTGTAAAGTTACCAAAAGGACGCAGTTTACACATTATCAATGGCACTTACAAACAACGTAAATTACCAAAAAGTGTTCAAAATATGCATAAATAGCATTAACTGCGTTAGTAACGCAGTAGAAATATAGTTGTAATTACTGAAAAAAATCATTAATCGCACATAATATGTGAAATATTACTTGAATCTTGAAACTTTATAATTTTTCAAACATCTTGGTACATTTTTCTCAAGTTTGATTTAATTGAAATATTTTGAGTCATCTGGAGACATGTAGCTTTAAATTGTTTATATCAAATCAGACTTATGCATATACGACATTTATAGTCACACCATTTAACATTATACATTAGAATGTTTAGTTTTCATTCTTTACAAACATTTTTGCATTTTTAAGATTAATAAAAGACGTCGACGCACATAAGTCACTTAAGTGATTTTTTTTATTATTTCGTGTTGCCATGGCATTAATTATATTACACATATGAAGTTGATATCATTCAAATTTAAAAAAACCCCGAAAGACCGATATATTATCTCACGTTTGCGAATTGTAGTTGTTGCTTTTAACGCATTTGACACTACCTCTCTGTTTTCATGAAAACGTAGATATATTAGTTATAAAGATTTTGGCAGGTAATATGGTAAAACGGTTGTTTACATACATAACACGTTACATTGCAAATTACTGTTTATATGCGGCCATATCAACTGTCAGGAATCTTTGTAACGAATTTATGATATAGCAAATTTCCTTTTTAGAGTTAAAAGTAAGATTTTTTCGTAATTTGACAGCAGCCTTGTTTATATAACTATATAAACGTTACGACCGTCAACTCAAAATGCGAGTTACAACATCAAGTATCTTAAAGTTCCATAGCTCTTCAGCGTTTTTATGTCAGATTTTTCCAAGTTATAATTTCGAGAAACCGCTAAATGTATACCTACCTCAGGACATGTTAATTTTATGCAATAAGACGAAGGTAAGGTTTCGGGCGAGCTTAGGTAAAACAGATACACCATGGTGGCTTGTCACATTGATCTGACGTAGTGTAAATCTAACCTAATCACGTGAACCTTTCTATGCGACCCTACTCGACTGCGTCCTCTGAGGTTAAGCATTAGACAGCACTTGATTATGCTATAATTTACGTCAAACCAGAAGTCGTCAACGCAGCAATGGTATATCTATTACTTAACAATGCCCGTGTTTTCTCCGCAGGATCAATATCAGAAGGCATCGCTGTTGACTATATAAATCAGTTACTCTTCTACACGTGTACCTTTGACAAGATCATCGTAGTTGTCTCGCTGGAAAATAAGGACATTTATAAAACAATCGTTAATGAGTCATTAGACATGCCAAGGGACATAATCGTGCACCCCGAAAGAGGGTAAGTATGTTTGAACGTTAACATCGTTATAAATTTGATACTAGTTTTATTTGATGGCGAAGCAATGTTATTTTTATTTATATAAATAAACACAATATTTAATGGATAACACTGATTGATAAACCTCTAAGTCGCCACTTTTTTTCTAAAATATTTGCAAACGTTTGCAAGGATTCTAACTTTTTATTACTTTTAAATTTCGTAATAAGAAATTTAATTTACAAATTGAGTAAAGTTATAGTACTAAAAAACTAATCTGTTCCGCATGATTATGTTCAACAACTTTTTAAGAAAACACATATATGTACATTTTATATATTCATTAACCCTTACCATGCTAAATTATGTCCAATTTTAAGTCTTGACAAAACCATTTTTAGGGAAAAAATACAAAAATATGTACTTCGAATGCACACTGCGCATGACCAGAATTCGAAAACAGTCACGCCGTGGCGCGGCTTTGTAAACTGCACTGGTCGCCTACGACACGAATTAGCAGGCGCGCAGTTAATAATTGGCTGATTTGTGCCATTCGTGTTTTTGCCCTGGGACCACGCCAAACGAAAACACGCTTCGGGGCGAAGTTTTATGTTTTAAATTTTGCCCTGCACCCTCGCTAATAAATGAGTTTTCGCTCCGCACACACGCCATTTTAACGTTTAAGTTCTCGACTTTTCGCTTGTCGGGGTCGAGGTGCGAAAATACAAATGGCACAAATCAGCCACCATAAGTTAAGGATTAATTAAATAAGTCGGGAAAGTAATAAGACCTCTTTCTATTTTTTTTTCCAAAGAGTAATATACTGGTCAGACTGGGTCAATGAGCCAAAGATAGAGACATCAACCATGGACGGTGGTAACAGAAGTATCATCATGTCGTTAGAACCGAACTCATGGCCTAATGCTATTGCTTTAGATGTGAAAAGTAAGTACATTGTATACTTTTGTTTGAATCTACCTAGGTATATTCTGTGCTTATTTAAAAGACTATGTAAAACACCCATCCGATATCCCTATAAGGATTATTTCAGTATTTAATTATACGAGATGAAACCGGATTTTTTCGTTGTGCTAGTCACTCTACAAGAAACAATCGATTGCATTTTTTTCACACTTTTTGAAATTGCATAATTATATTCGTTAAGAATCGTGTAAAATTGTCAATATGGAAATCAGATCTTTCCTGGAATTTGTAAATGATTAAGTAATTGCCGGTATTTTCAACCGTTAAATAAATATGAAATAATTGGTGGTGTTCAACCTAACATTAAGTGTTAAGTGCATGTTCCCTGCGTACTTCTAAGTCTTATATTAAAATAATAATAGGACAGGAATGCAGATTACTTGTCTGCCATTTTTGTAATCTCTAAACACAGTCGTTGTTTATATCAAATATCAAAGGTTATTTGTCATTGTATAACGATTATAATACTTCTAGGAAATAAGAAGCGTATTCAAACGGGAGAAAAATATAGAAACTGTACAGTTGCTAAATATCGCATATCACTATGTTCAGAGTATCAGCACATTCCCTGGCTATAGAAACTTGGATGTATGATGGTACTTTGAAAGAAAATAGATTATACAAATGCTATTGAATGGGAGTTATAGAATCCAAATAATACTTTCTTCTCGTTTGTCCGTTATACAGAGATCTAAGAATCAAATATCTTAAAAAGATTTTTTTGCAGATTTTAATGTCAACAAATGAGAAAACCAATGTTATCACTTTCTTATCTTCTGTCCATTATACAGAGATCTAAGATACAATATCTTAAAAAGATTTTTTTGCAGATTTTAATATCAACAAATGAGAAAACTAATGTTACCAACTTAGCAAAATATGTTTCCTTTGCAACAAATAAGAGAAGTAAAGGTAATAATGGAGAATAAAACAACAAAATTGAAAATGTTGCAGGTTCGGTTTGATTTAGCCTCTTCATGGACGATATTGGAAAGTGCAAATGACCGTCCATGCCCCTTAGCGCCGGCTTAAGCAGAATCCAACATTTAATAATGGTAATGGTAAAATCATGAATTTAAGATATCCGCAAATGTGTCCATACGGCGGTTATCATGGAACCTTCAATGTGACACGTTAGTACGGTCCCCAAGTAAAATGTACCCTAAACGAGAAAACAATGGGCGGAACTAAATATAATAGAATTTTTAAAGGGGATCAGAGGTTATGAAGCCTGAAAATCAATATCACAGATAAGCTGTCAAAAGATAAATTTTAAAATCAGGCCACATATCGGATGATTAAACAGTATTAAAGTGAGAGGAATACGGCAAAACGACAAATACTTTCAAAATATAAACTACAAACATGCGATTTGAAATGATATAACTGTCACGAGAATAAATCGAAGTAGTCAAACTTAAGTGTTTCATCTCACTGTCTTTAAAATGATATTTCAATTAAAAAAATATGCATTAAAAGTTTCATTTTGAATATAGTGATCATTAATTGACTATTAAATTTCATGCATTGTAGAATTGTCTGTCTACCTCTGGCATGTATTTTTGTCTGCCTGCTATGTCCTTTTTGTCTTTCGAAATTATCGGGATGTTGTTATTAAGTGCAGGTTTTGGTAAAAATGCCGGTATTTTGTTGCTTTATGAGCACCTTTATTTGTATTCAATACTTGATGTTCTAAAGCCAGACGCACTAAATAAAAGTTTGTAATCGATGTGAAATGGCATACAATTCTCATATTTCAAGCACTTTACATTGGTAAAGGGAATTTCGTTAAACTTCAATGGCAAAATTCACCTTTGGTACTCTACAAATTGTGCTTTTGCTTTTGGATAATTCGGATTTGGCTTCTTCGACGCATCGATTTTAAGACTCATATCAGTCCGATTGGACTAATAATATCTGTCATATGTTGCGGATTATCCGTCCCGAAGGGACCCGTCCATTGGGCGGTAACGAGGCTTGCATATTTCTTCTCAAACGACGTCATTTTAATGCGGTTCACTCATAAAGTGCGCTAAAATTACGTTGTTGTTTAGCACGCGACTCATCTGGCACCCCTTATGCCAGATTAAATTTTCTGGCATGAGTAAAACTCACGGAAACGACAGTCTGCTATGCAAGAATAATAATATCTGTCACATGTTGCGGTTCGGATATTCCGATCCGAACCGCAACATGTGACAGATATTTTTTCTTGCATATTCTACCATATTCCATTATATTTTAAATTCTGTATCTTTATTTCCAATGTAAATTATATCATTACAACCGTAACTACTTTCTTTCAACAGCGTATGAAATTACAATTTCATTCATAACGGTAAAATGACGTCATCCTAAGCGTACCATTGTACAGCACGCGATTCATCTGGCACCCCCCATGCCAGATGAAATTTCCGGCATGGGTAAAACTAACGGAAACGCCAGTCTGACATGCAAGTATATGTATTCTGAATATTGCGTAACCTGTTCAATATTAATGTGAATGTTATTAACTTACTTAACGCTAGATTTCCCAGGACACCCACATTTTTTGTTACAGTCTTTCATAATCGTTTTAGATTTTATTTTAGGGCACATAGCATCAGACCATCAAATAAATGATTGAACTGAAGGATAGTCATGTTAACTGTTTTTGAGTCTTGTAACTACTGCACTAGTTATATCGTTTGCACCTCTTCTACCTATAGCTTCATGCAATATGCAGTTATAAACACATCACGCTTTAGAAGAATATGCTGTTAGTTGGAAGATTGATAATTTCCGCTTACAGAAAAAGTTACTTTCATTAGACTTTGGCAGAAAAAGTACATTTTGTAAATCAAAAGACACAGTCATACCATCATCTCTACCATTCATTCTGTCTTTTTCTCTTTCATTCTTTGTTAAAATTTACAAATTGTACAACTCATTTCAATGTTAATCATACTTTACAATAAATTCGTTACTGGTCTGGTTTTTTGAATGAGCTACTTCAATCTCTTTACATAAGCTACACCTATCTTTCTTAGGGACATGATTGAAAGCCAATATTATATCTGTATTAAAGATCTTTCTGTACAGGTTTGTCTTAAGAGGAATTTTCTAGGTATGTAAACAATGCTCCTTATATAGCCCGAAATAATCGTAAATGGTATTGCTATAAAATGCGATGTCTTCATATAATTGAAAATAATTGCATAAGGTATTTGTAGTGTTTAATATATACACAAAACGAAACACCTGAAACATAATCAAAAACAAACTCTTAGAAAAGTTTTTTTTAAATGAATAAATGGGGCTTTTACTGAGAGAGCAGTTAAAATACACCCCTCTTCTCAAGGAAGGGCATTCTTTTTTAAATGCCTTGGAGCCTTGCAGACAAAATGGACATTCTGCCAAAGCTTTGAAGAAAACAAATTGCATTCTGTCAACGTCTTGAAGAAAAAATGACATTTTTGTCAAAGTCTTGGAGGAAAAGAATAGACATTCTGTCGTTGCCATAAAGAAAAATATTCTGCCTAAGCTTTGAAGAAAAAAAATGGATTTTTGACGTAGCCTGACAATGAGGTGGTTCAAATGTTTTTTGCAGATATGAATGAATGAGCAAATTAATCAATTCTACTCTAAAAGATCATAAGAAGCAAAATTGAATTAAATAATGATGAATCAAGCCATAATCTGAAAATACGGCATCCGAAATTTGGTATCTGAGGAAGGTTTAGTTTCTCTTTACCTTTAGCACACAAAAGGTACATTTCAAAAACAACACAAGTATATTCCAAATATCAAACTTTTATCATAAAATTGTCTTAAAACTTACATGTGTGTATGTTACATATTGCAAATGTTTTTTTTGGTGGAAAAAATTCTTCTATGGCTATGGTGTAAAATCAAGATTGTGACAAAGTAAAACAATGCCACTGCGTAATTTTTAAGTCACCCTGGATATCATCTGTGAAGCCGAAAACCTGACATGCGTCATTGTGGAACTAAAATTGAATACAATTAGACAAACATATTTGTTATTGATTTTAATGTGATTTCAATTCAACACGTTATACATGTTATCTCAGAGCATTGCAGCCTCTCGGTGCCAAAGGTCCCGCTAGAACTTTCGGCGTACAAATAATGCGTAAATAACTTTACTTTGTTCCCCATATAAGATTCTGAACTGTAATGATTTGAATATTCAGATGGAACGATTTGTTTACAATGATTTTTTATTTAAGCCACTGGCCAATCGCATATTCTTGGCCAATTCCGTCAAACTTCGGAAAAGAGCCAATTGTCCAGTTAAAATCAGTATGTAACGTCTCATTCCGCAAAAAAATGGGAGCCATGTGTCGATCGACCACCAGACACGGGAAGTGTCGAAATTTGTCGGAATCCTACGAAGTTAGTTTAATGATGCTGTCATTGTCTTCTACCTGCTTATTTCAGGTATGAATTTATTTTGGGTGGACGGAAAACATTATGTTATTGGACGGATCAACATTGATACAGGGGTACAGAAAACATTGTACTCGGAACCGGGGACTCATTTCTTTGGCATGACGCTTGTTGGAGATAAACTTTACATCACAGACTGGTACCGGAAGTAAGTACAGCACAACGTTCTCAAAGCGACCCTCTGTAGATCAATTAAACTTAAAGAACATCAATTTCAAATTTTCTATCTCCCAAAGGGTGTTGCTTGCTATGTAAAGAATTTATTTATTATTAACAATTTTCAAATTGAATATAGAATTTCATTGTTAAAGGGAATTTCATTGTTAAAGGAAATAACATGACTGTAAGAATTAAAAAAAAAAAACAAAAAAAGGACAAAAGAAACACTTATAATCATAAGTAGGGAGAATATTCATTGTAAATTACATGTAATAGAATAATTCTGTGTTTCTTAGCCAACATGAATGAAGATTTTTATTGGTATTTCAATTGTTTATTAATGATTTATTATGTATTTGAAAACATACAACTACAATAAAGGCTCATGTCGCCGGTATATAAAGCCACCTTATATTGAATTCTTTTCCATATTTGTATGGGACCTCAAACAGGGTATTAATATAAAACTACCATAACTATTTTCATGATTAAACCACGTGTTCATGTTTATATTAAAGAGAATTGAATAGATTTTATGGCTCTATGTAAACAGTTGTTGGCATATATAACCTGAGGCGCAAGGCCCAAAGGGCCATTTTTTAAAATCATAAATATATAATAGATATGTGAATGAATTATTCTTTATTTTCTAGACATGTAAGCAGATTAAGTGTTGATGGTGGGGAACTGGAGCAAGTTGGACCTTCAAAATTTTCTAAGTTAAATGGCATTACTGGTTATAAGAAAACTGATATTAGAAAAGGTAATTAGATAGTTTTGAAGTCCAAAATACAGCGCAGGTGCCAATTATGCATATCAGGTTTAATGATTTTGATATCCAGGCGACCTTGAAAAGACACTTTTTGGTAAAATTTTAATAATAATCAGAGTATTTTTTAATATCGGATATATTTCAGAGCTTTCAGAAATTAATTTATTGACGGAATGTACCGATTGTTCACGAGCTTTAATTTGTTCCGAATGAATCCCTCTTCTAGACAGGATGTAAATAAGTTTCATAGACTTTTAACAGATGATGAGATTCTCTCATCAATACGAGAATTTACAAATACTGAAATCAAACTAATTGTCTTTTAATTTGTTTAATTAGGCCATTTTAAGTCAATGTTTTATCCTTGGGGAATATCATGCCTATGTCTATGACTCATTCCATGATACATATTTGAATGCATTAAAAAAAAATCATGCCTGACACTGTGTTTTTTTGTTACATACATTATTTCATCATTATAAAACACGTCAATATTTTTATGTGATTAAAATTGTTATGAAATATTTTGTCATGTATGGAAATTTTGATTCACTGGTTTTAAAAAATAATTAACATTTCATGGTCTAACTATCATGCGCTTTGCGTATTCATCGACTTTATTGTGAGATCCAGTCTGATATGTAATAAATGAAGACAACATTGTCAGAGATTCTAGTTCTATGTATAACATTACGAATCGTGTAAATTTGTTCTAGGCAGTAAGTATTGTATAAAAACAAGTTCACATTTCTTCATGATGCTATGTTGCATTAATGTCCATTGCCATGAAGGAAATTTCAGTTTATTTATTATGTAAAGATGATTTGTGTTAAGTGAGTTATTTTCTTTAGTTTTCAGCAAATGTTTACAAAGCACGTGCAGCCATCTATGTTAACATGTTTACGGAAAATTACAAATGTGAATGCTCAGACGGTGACCAAAACGCTTCGAATCCTTGTTGGGAAGCGTACGGTACGTCAGCAATTTTACACAAATCCTACAGTTCTATTTTAAACTATTTTTTGTTGTTGATGTCAATGTATGATATTATAAATAATACACTCAAACCACTTCTCATTTTCAGTCGCCAAATGAATTACAAACATTAACTGTTACATTTTACCTTATAATCGCAAGAGACAACAGTCATCATGCGTTTACTTTTCATTTTGTATATATTTTCGAATTCGTATTATATAAGGCCCGGGAATTATTAAAGATATATTTATTAAAACAGATACTTACCGGTTTTTTCAATTTTCAAACTGTTCATCAATAAAAAATATAATTATATATGTAACATTTATTTCAAGAACTTTACAGTAGCAAAATATAATAGTGTATTCCTTTCTTGCACACTCATTTAAACCCTCATTCAGTTTCAAAGTGCAACCCGTTAGTGTACATACATACATACCTTAATTAGATTCAATATAAATGTGAAGCCCATGTTGCACATAAATGTACATATAAACCTAAAATTGATTCAATTTAAGTTTGCAAACCATTTTTGCACATGCATAAATTTCATAAAATAGATTTCAATCAATTTTAGTGTGCAACCCTTTTTTGCAATCACTTTGATACCCAAAAATAGATTATATTTAAGAGTGCAACCGGTTTCTGCACAAACAAATACTTTTAACAGTTTGAAAATAAGAGTACAACACATTTGTGTTCATACATACTTTTATTAGAAAAGTTGTTAAGTTAACCCTTTTTTACATTTAAATATAAAATTGATGAGTGCAACTCAATTTTATACATTTATATATGTAAGCGATTTTGTCCCTAAATAATGATATTGTATGCTTGCATGGTGCTTTTGCAATATTGTTTCAAGGAAAAATCTGAAAACGTTATAATTTAAACACTCATTTTTTGTTATTAAATTTTCATATGGCAGGAACACAATGAGAAACATAATTTTATCATACACTTTTACAAATAACACATTGAAACACATGATACGAACTTTTTATAGAAATGATTTAAACAATCCAAATTATCAGGTTCAGTTATTACTTATATAATTTTGAAACATAATATAATCTATTTAAGCATTTGTAATATGAATTTTACAGAAATTATTGAATGTTTCAAATCAGGAACTAAGAAACTTTGATAACATTTAAAAAACATTCAAAAGACATTTATATACGTTTTATATGAATGGCTCAAATGTTTCAAATCAGAAACTTTAGCTATGTTTACACATTTTTAAAACATATGCTTGAAACAGCTTCCGAAAGTTTGCAAATCCGAGATTTTCGCAAATTCAGTTACCATTTCTTACGTAATAAGAGAATAAATGAGTTCAGTCAACAATGGATATAAAAATAAGCAAAACCTGGTCTTTACATTTTACATACCCCTAACATTGAGTGCTGGGAGACAATCAAAGTCGATCATCCTATGGTGGCTGATTTTATACGCTTTTGTGCATCTAGTTGGCGCTAGCGACAACACACAAAACGCCAAATGGCGCGTTGTCTGACTTTCGTCTTGTCGTCCTGTCACTAGCGACAACACGTCAAAGCACTAAACGTCTCACTGTTGTTTCTAGCGAAGCACACCAAATAGAACGTTGTCGTGCGGGGCGTTGTCGCGATGTCGCCCTGTTGCTGCTTGGATTATGAGCCAATCATTCGATTTAAACCGAGTGACAATGTGACATTGCGACAACACGCCGCACAACAACACGTCCTTTGGCGTTCATCGTTAGCGACAGGACGACAAGTTGAAAGACCGACAACGCGCCGTTTCACGCTTTGTTGTGTTGTTGCTAGCGCCAACTAGACGCACAAAAACGTACCAAATCAGCCACCATAGTCTCCCATTAGTTTTTTCCCCTCATTCTTCCACTGGGTTTTTGCTATCCCATTGGATAATCCATGGGTCTTAACCTCCATTCTATAAAAAATGGGAGATAAAAATAATGGGAGATTGATTTAGAAAAAATAAAGAATTTTTTTTTTGTAAGAAAATTATTATTGTAGTCTTCAAATACTTTATCGGTAAATAGATAACTAAAAAGTAATGTTTAAAATCCTCCCATTTTTGGTGCCGGGAAAATCCACCCATGGGTGAAATCTCCCATTTATGGGGTAAAATTCCGATGTTGATACATGGGATAAAATCCCATTTCTTAAATCTGGAGATAATTTCCATTCCTTTCAAGTGGGAGATTGTTCTGTCTATGAGGTTGACGCTAATTACGTATAATACAATATATGATAATAAAATCAAATCCAAATAACAGATTAAATGGCGGGGAAAAAGCATCAAACTACTGCTACTGCTGCTACTGCTACTACTACTTCATAGTTATAATAAGAAATCGGCATTTACCTTCGAATATGACAGGAATGAAAACTGAAAAATATCAAATGTAACGAATTAGTCAACAAAATCAATTTAAATTAAAAGGATACAAAAAAGCTGGGATGTACTATTCGCCGGACTCCTCTCGATATTTTCTGTATCTACAGGTCAATTTTGACCGGTGTAACGTTGTAAAATGATCCCATAGAAAAATGACCCCTGGTCATTATTTTATATAAAATAGTGAGCCCCTTCTATAAAATACTGACCTCTTTATATATAAAATAATGACCCCCTAGTTCATCTATAAAATATTGACCTCCACCTAGCATACTCTTTAAAGTCAACGTGATATTTAAATTGTGTATACTTGTTGCTGTTCTTGTTGTGCCTGTTTCTGCTTCTGGTATTGCTGCAGCTGACAAAACAAGGCTAAAATTAGGAGGGGCCGCTAAGAAAAAGCGATAATTTAATGAATGTTATATATCATTAAAACTTGCGAACATGAAGTTTTACGCTGATTTGATTTCAGCATAGTTCTAGTCAGCTTAAGGAGATAAATTACTTATCATTAGGTACGAAAAAAAACAACAACAACAACACCCCCCCAGAATAAAAAAAACATGATGTGTAGTTACAAACCAAGAACAAATGTGCAAAATATTTGGTTTGAAGTGATTTATGATTTTACCTTCAAGTAAGCAAAGAACAAACATCTATGAAACTCTTAATTGTTAAACGGAGGAAATGGATACATACTATTTAAAATGATTTGGAAATAAACTACGAAAATGAAATACTGTTTGTATGAGCAAAACGCTTTAAACACTAGGCTTATTTAGGTTAACATATATTCTATTTTATTGTAAGAAAATACAGATCGAATAACGATGAGACGACTTTCGCATTTTGTTGGAACAGAGCACGGCTAGTTTCAATTTGCCAGAAAAATTATAAAAAGAATATATATAATAAAATAAATTAATAAAATGGCTAAGTCGTTAGTATTTTTCCATCGACAAAATCGTCTGATTGTATGGTACATTTATGGTGAAGATTGTGAGATTATAAACCAATTTGTTTGTATAATGTCACCAATACTGTTTCTAGTGTTATAACCATAGTAAATTGGCTATAAGACTATTGCAACACTGAACTGATATTCAATTCTATGTTTATTTGGCTAAAAAATGAGTTGTCTGAACTGGGATTTGAACTCCAGACCTCTCGCTTCCAAAGCGAGCGTGTCAACCCCTCGACCTAGGGGAATTTTACGATAACAGCCTGAAGAATAGCATATTATTATTAATTAGAGTTTGTAACCCTTATCAATTCCGATATATTTTGTTCACGGTAAACCTGTTGTTAAAAACTGAAGTAAATAATTATGGAGCTTAATATAAGCATGTATATCTATAAGAATAACACAAAATTAGAAATCTTCCACCAATCGGGAACTAATTTTTCGTTACGAAAATTAATGCGCCTGTCATTTGACAATCTTTACGCAGTGAGCTCCCCTTAATTTGTCGGCGTTAATGTACAATGAAGGGAAGTAACCGCTTCGAGTAGTTTGGACTACTTTCGGCATTTGCAAATAAGAACATCAGGGTCTGAAATTTCGCCATCATTATTTGTTTTTTCTGACGACCTAAACAAATAAAAATAATCGTTCACGGTCTCATTTAAAAACGATGCAACTGTTGTTAAATTATTTCTTTTTTTTTTTTTTGATTGTTCAAAGGCTATTGAGGCTACGACACGACTGTGTTTGATGACAGCTATGGAAGTGATGTTCAAAATCCTTTATCTGTGTGTGTGTATGTGTGTGCGCGCGCGCGTTATCGTGCGCGCGCGTGTGGGGGGGGGTGGGGGTGGGTGTGTGTGTGCGTGTGATTTTAGAACAAATGTTAGAACGTCCACCATTTCAGGCACTGAGAGTAGGGACCCCGGACATGTCACCATTCATGACCTTTTTATATTTTGTGACCAATAAGAGACCCATATATACCCCAAAAATTAGTAATAGTGATAAAATGGATAACTTAATAGTTTTATTACCTTTGAGCATAAAAATCGTAAATCAAAAATAAGAACAAACAAGAGTTGCAGTTGAATGACATACTCCCAGCCATTGTCATCGTTAAAAGTGTCCAGTAAGGGCTTTATATCTTGGGTTGGGGGGCATTATTCTACAGTTTGTCAATATTCTATGTGAGGGTCATTTTTCTACGTGTAGAGGAGTCATAATATTATTTTATGTAAAATATTGACCGGGGGCATTATTTTATGGGGGTCAGTTTACAACGTTACACCGGCAAAAAGTATCATAAGCTAAATGGCACTAATAGTCACTCACGGTTTTGGAGTACATATCTTAGGTGTTTTCATTACGTAAGGTTATTATTTAAAAATATATGTTGATCACTTCGTTTAATTGTACGTATAACCTAAATGAAAACAAATTCTAAATATTATTTATTATAATGCAAAAAACAAGCAATTCTAATCATGGAAATTTTTTCATTTTTCTATTATTATTATTGTCGGATTAAAAAATATAAACAGTTGTTGAGTGAAAATAACATTCAGTGCTCTTGATATGACATGATAATCTTTGAAAGATTTTACTGTTTTATTTCATTTGC